GAGTGAAGAAACAATGAAAACATGAACCTTATTGTGGAACCCGCCGAGAGACATCCAGACACCATGCTGTTTCGCTAGAGACCTGAAAGAACACTAATTGAATAATTGAATAGAAAGCAGAACGACCTTCCATGAACTGTAATGGAATACCTAAAGCGTTCCATAAAAGGACCGTTCTCCTCTGATGCTAAGCTTATGTTTTCCTGCGGATCCCGAGGAACGAAGTCGAAGAATTCTGGGAAGAATATCATCTGAACACTTAACCGCAGATATAGTCGAATGAGTACAGTTTCAAACATTTCATTCCCCTACCTTACAACTTCGAGCAGACGCTCTCTCGACCATGTTCTTACAGGCTTCAAAGTTCTTCTCCAAGTCATCACCGCAAGTGAGTTGACATACGGCGATCTAGAACGAACCATTCTGCTGACCACTGCTTACTTAGTTTACTGCTCAACACAAGAGTGACTGAGTACAATTGTAAGAGAATGATGCTTCCCACAGCAAGTTCTTCATGTACTGGAAAAGGCAGATCCTAGTCGTCGTACCCCAAAGTTCAGCTAAAATATTGATGAATACGTCCCCGCAGCTCTAAAAGCCAGGAATTAAATTCTTGTTCCCGTGCTAGCTTCATGCAAACGCAGTCCACACCTGCAGGCAAAAGGGGCGGTGCAAGTATGCGGTTTCGTGTGCACGACGGCTGCTAGAGTTCAGAGAAGCAGAGATCTATAGTGTAAGACAGGAGTCGGTACGTTCGCCCGGCTGGCAACTTCTAACTCGAGTTACAGGCTAACTAAGATCACTGGTTTGCGGGCGATCTTGCGCCTCATATGTCTTCGACTGCATGCGGCTGTAGCGGTGTTACTTGGGTTTTTCACGAAGCAGTATTGAGTAATGAATTGCATTGCAAAATTGCAAAAATAGGATTGGTTATATCGATAGCCCGTTCAGCACTGGAAAAGCTACAGAAAAATGATTTGCTGACATGAACTAAACTTTCAAAAAAGCAGGCAAAGCCCGCAATCATTCGCTATCACAGATAGTGGATGAGGAGTTTGCATGAAGACTAGGTTGTGAGTAATTATACGGTGAAGAAAAAAGCAGAGAAAAGGGCCGAATGTCCTAAATAGAGCCGCATTTCGACCCCTGTTTGTACGTGCTTCACTAACTACGGCTTCAACATTACGCCTTCATCCTGATTCGCCTATAGGAACTCTACGACCGTTCAAGTGACAATTTTCAAGCTTTTTCGTCCTGCGGCTTCTTTTTCGATGAAAGGTGGGATTTGAGGGCGGTGTCTGGAGGCGGAGTCACTGGAAAAAAGGAGGCGTCACTGAACCTATATTGCGCTATAGCGCCCCTCTCTTACAATTTTTTGATGTCTATGCCTGATCGCGGACCGTATCTTTCAAGTGGGGAGCGGCACCGCCTTATTACAGACAGTACAGAAGTATCTTAACACTTAGAAGTCCTCACCAGTGATCTTCCATTTCCAGTCGAGTTTGTCTCCATTGTGCCAGCTGATGTTGCTGGTCAACCTATAACGTCCTACAGATCTTTTGGAATTAAATTAAGTCGAACCGTAGGCCAGTCAAGTAGGGGTGTGTCCAAAAACGACGCGGAATGAGCTTCCACCGGCTGTTTTCTAGCAATAGTAATCGGCTAGTGATCGAGTCACGAAGAAAACAACCACTGATAGAATTCACTCATTCCATAAATCTACTGATTACGGCTATGCCAACTGTATTACAGGAGGATGGAATCCTCGCATACACAGCATCGTTGTGTGAAACACGTAGGGGCCCGTAACTTCCCAGCTAGGGGGAAGGTCGTATTGGCCGTTAGCTGGAAAGAGGGAGGGATCGTATGGATCGTCATGTGTATGAGCGTATGGCTTGGAGAGAAATTGTTGTGTGGGAGAAAAATTTTACTCCGACTGTGACTTTCACAAGTGATTTTTTCCTATTCATATGTACACTATCTAGACCCCTCCGCTCGACGGAGAATCTTTGGAGGATCGCACCAAGGCCACATTTCAGTTGGGGGCGGAGTCGTATTAAGACCCTCCTCGAGAGAGGGGGGTCGTACTGGCACCACCATTTCACAATCATGATGCTGTACCTGTACTCAACTACAACTCATCATACGGGACTTGTCGGGGCGTGTCATGCGGACTGCGTTTGGCGCGGATTTCCCGACCAAAAAGTCGTTCTGCACCATTGTGAAGCGAGCAATTTGACATTGACGGTATTAATCCGCTTCGTATTACTCACCAATTTTTGTCGCATACGCGTTTCAGCAAAAAGGCTGAGAACGGCTTCAACAGTGTGCACACTCATACTGGCTGACACGCCCCGACAGTCCGTAATGATGAGGACTCTACGTCTCAAAGTGGTCGTGTTACCTTAACTTACCAATCTCGTCAGTGGTGGTTTAATAATTTATGAGGCATGTGAGGCAGCGACAATTAATGGCTTCCAGGAGAAATCGGAAAATGAGGCAGTAAATAGAGCAGAGCGACGGTGAAAAAAGAAACGACACGTAATGACCTGGAACGAGCTAGAACGCCTACGAAATAACAAAAACGCCTACTACTGCTTTAGTCAGTAAGTGAACGAACATACTCCTAAGAATCACTGCTGCTCAACCAAGTGGAGAAATATCAATTGCAATGTTATCATGGAAGAAATAATTCAAAGCGAGCAACGCAAAGACAAACTATGGCAGGGTTGTGTTAACATCAAACAAAGGGCACATTAACAACATCATGAAACACCTGCTGAATTCTCGAGAACTAGGAAAAAAACAAACAAATACGTAAGAAAGTCTTTGACTAGAAAAAAGGTACCGCTTGCAAGAAAACCTTGCAACATTGCGAATTTCAAGAAGGATGTTCCAGTTATTTGCAGCAACTTGCCTTGAGGAAAGAATCCTGTTGAAAGAGAAGACACTAGTTAGCCAGGTGAAACAGCTGATGCAATCAAAATCAATTTCTGAGTGGTGCCGCCATTTGTAGGTTATGATTAATTTGGTAGGACGTTTCAAGGCACCTTTCGTTGAAGAAGGAGCTGGGCTCTTCCTGCTTAAGAGTGCAATGTCATTTTGTTCTGGGCCCTAATTGAATTATCGTACCCTTTGCCTTTAAAGAAAGAATGGGGCTCACAAAGCTGGATCTACTGTCTTTTCGACAGGATTCTGTGAATTTTTGCGAAGGGTGATTAATAAGAGGACGTGCTACTCCTTATCTCATTTTTCAAAGATTCCACAGACTTTCACGCTTTCAAAAAAGGCAAAAATATTAAGAACTGAACTTTATGTCTATTTTTTCGGAAATCCCTAGCGTTGAGGAAAGTTTCTTGATTTCAACTGCAGTGTGAGCTTCGGATGCCTTTGCAAAGCACATCATTAGTTGGGGATTTCGGTCAAGTCCGTACCCCACCCCCTTTCTCCTTCCCCTTTTTTACAAGGGTTGGTACGACCCTCCTGGTTACTTGCCTATATTTGCCCAGATTTTCCGTACTTCCTACCACTTTTTCCGGAATTTCCCGGAAATTTTGCTGTTTTGCTGTCGAGGAAGGGGGTGGGGAGAGGGGGTATGTAGTCACATAAAACAGGAAAACCACGAAACGTCAGCTATCTCTCTCAGGTCAGAAGTAAGAATACGATCTTCCCCCTACCAACAACCAGCATCTGTGACCTCACCCCTTTACAACAGCCCGCCAAACAAGAACAATCAACTAGCAAAAAAATTTCTCATCCCACATACGACCCCCATCCCTCCCAACAACTAAGTACGACTCCCCCCTGTTGAGGAATCTCAGCAATGATGCCCTGCGCCTTCGCTCTTACACATATGCGCAATCGTTGCAGCAAAACATTTTACTCCGTGGTGAAAACAACATTTATAACATGATGAAATAAGGGTGTATCAACTAGGAGAGAAGTGCGAAACAAAAAAAGTAATACAATAATAAATGGTTGATAGGGGAATATTCATTTTCAGAACTACTTTGCATTTCCAGTTACATAACACAAAGAAAAAACTAGTTTGAAAACAGCTAGTCCATGGAAAACACATATACATATATTCTTCCCGAAATATCTGTGTGGAAATACGAGTACCGTAGATGAAAGCCTGAACCAGAGGTGAAAGCCTATGACCTAAACAGTCTAAATACGGCACAGTTGTGGGCAGTTTTAAAGTTTTCGAAACGTTCCCTATCTGGATTGTTGGTTTTGCACTTTGAAAAGACCAACAGCTGAAACTGTAGGAGCCCAAAGGTCCTCTGTGCTATGCAGGCTTTCTGCATATGCTAGAACAAATCTTCTTTTAGCGCAAAATCAGTGAGAAATTTGATAGCAGACAGGTAGGAAAAGGATAACGGCAGTGTTCCAGTGTTTATCATTTGAAGATTGAATAATCAATAAAGAGTGCAAGTGTTGTCATGCAGTGGTAGTGAATATAATATGTATTGGGTGGGCCCACTAGTGATGGCGTTTCTTTCTAGCTTAAAACTTTGCGAAGCATTGAATTTTTCTTTACGAAGGTACAAGACTACCCCGCTCGCATACTAGGCAGTTCTATAGGAGTGAGAGCTGGACGTTTCTTCACACACTCTTCTAGGAGACATCGTGATCGGTTGCAGTGCGAAATCAACCTCTTAAGGGGCTCAGATCCGACTGCAATCCGTGATAGGACCCTGCTCTCAAATCCTCCTTTTGTGGTGTTTTTCGGGTTGTTTCATTGCGACAACTGCTGTTTGACGTCGTAAATCGCGCTCCAAACGTTATCACGAGAATTCTGAAGTTGTGAGCAAAAGTCTCCACTCCAGACACGAGTCGAACCCCCACCATCTCACTTTCCGGGCTAGTGGACTCCGACTGAGCTGGGAGAATTAGAGGTGGCCTTCGTGCGTAATGGATAGCGCACTCGCCCGGAAACACGAGGGCAGGTTCGAGCCCAGCCTGGGTCAAGACTTTTGCCCATAATTCTGCATTCCTGTGCTAATCTTTGCGGTGTATTTCGGTCCTGGTGAGGATGTGAGCTTTGAGTGCCATTATTCCCTCTGATATTATTAGGTCATCCCATTCAAAAGTGCGGAAGATTTTATTCATATAAAACGAAGAGAAAACAGATAAAAAGTAATATTTTGGCTTTGAGTTAAGTAGATCCCTCCTTCACCAATGACCCGCTCCCAGTGCCCCGAAAGCCTTTGGACCTCTGGTACCTTCGATTTTTCAACAAGTGCGAGTAAATTGCTGTTGATGCCAATTTCGGCGAATGACAAAACATTGTAGCGTTTGCCGTCGGAGAGTACCTCGACTGACCAGAACAGTTGAAATCGAACGGCTTTATGTGGGCGAATGAGGCGATTGAACCCAGGTCTCAGTATTGTTTGTGTCCCAGCACTGCCCTACAATACAGTTACTCGGGGTCTGGCACTATGACGAGCAACGGTGGCCTTCTTGTAGTTGTGTGGTATCATCCATTTGTCGATCTGATTGCCGAGGAACAGGCAATATACACCGACAGCTACGATTTTATTCTCTGTATAGAGCCGCCTGAAAGCCACAGTGTGGGAATCCTTCGCTATGATGATCATCCACTTGCCCACGTAACTCCTCATGGTAGAACTCGGGCGGCTTCTCATCTGCATTCATACAAAATTGACGATTGTGAGTTTTGGCTCGAGGTCCAAGACCACCCATATTTCATCTAGGGCCGGGGTGCGTTTCACAGTCGTGAATGACATCTCATGCTGAGAACATTACTGCTAGAGGCATAGAATCGGTACTGCGTTCGTGCTTCTACAAGAAAATTAGGTACCCATGCGCACACCCTCTTGACCATCCTCAGTTTATCGGACATAACTCGGGCAGCAGTTGCAGCAGGGATGTCAGTCTCGCGGGGAAGCTCGACGTCCAGGCTGATCAGACATTCAGCGCTTGACTTCATCCACCCTTTTTCTTGTGCAGGATGAACATTATGGGACCATCCACGACAACAAATTTTTTCCTTTCTTCCTTCTTCGGGCTCCTGAACCAAATCTTCCACCTTGCATTTTGAGAACACCATTACACGCAACTACTGGTCCGGCACAGGTCGAATTTGAGCAGCGCATTTTCCTTTATGACGCCAAATTCGGCGCTCATTTTGAAAGCTCCGTTTTTTTTTCTTCACTTTCGCGAGGACTTCGTCCGTGGGTACGTTTGCCAAATTTCACAGATAGCAAAGCTAAAGGTACTAGTTCCCAAATGGTATAATAGCCCGCTGCCCTATCCCTTTTGCTTTCCTGCCATTCCTTTATATGTCTCCACATTTTTGAATAAGATGACCCAATAGAATGACAGAGAATGAATTAGGACTCGCTCTCCAAGATTATGTCATGGCTACAAAAGATCCTGATAGGATGCCCCAAGCGGGGTCTTGGTGACGACTTTCTGCTCATCCGTTTGGGCTGGAATCCTATTCTTCTTCTTGCAGCTAATTATAAGGTCCAGCTACTCATAAG